AAAAGCTGGAAACAATCAAGGTATTTTTCAATAGGAGAATAGACAAACCCTAGTATATTCATAGAATAGATTATTACTCAGCAATAAAAACAAATGAGCTATCAAAACATAAAAAGATAGGAAAGAACCATAAATATATAATGCAAAGTGAAGGAAGACTGAAAAGGCTACACACTATATAATTCCAACTAGATGACATTCTGGAAAAGACAAAATTATAGATACCATAAAATGATTAGTGGTTGCAAGGGATTGAGAGGGAAAGAGGAGCCATTCAGGAGCACAGGATTTGTAGGACAGTAAAATTATTTTATATATGTTGTGATGATGATGAATATGTGTTATTATGAATTTGTCAAAACCCCTAGAACTATAAAACACAAAGAGAGAACTCTGATTTATGGACTAGAGTTAATGGATTTAGTTAATCTAATGTATCAGTACTGGCTAATCAACTGCAGCAAATGTATCATTACAATGTACCTTACTTTAATGTTAGAAACTAATGATAAGAAACTGGCGGGGGGAGGTGAAGGGAGAAGAGGAAAAAGAATATATGGAAAGTGTACTTTTTGCTTTTTGATCTACAGATTGCTCTGAAAATAAATTCTATTAATTAAAAAAAGTAAGGGAATGCCTGAAAATAGGCAGAGTATTGAGAAAAATTCATAGCTTTAAGTGGACATAACTTTCCTGTGTTTAATATGAATACACAATCAGTGTAACTCAACATCATGTACCACCACAAGAATGGGAAGTTATACTCCATGTATGTATAATATGCCAAAATACACTCTATTGTCATGTATGTCTAAAAAGAACAAATTTTTAAAAATAGACATATTGAGAGACTTTTTTTCCTACAAATAAAACAGGAAATAAAAACCCTCATGGCTTTAATAGTTGAGTAATAAGCATATCATATTCTGATGCTTACATTAAACATTATCAACCAAGTATATTCTATTAAATTCAAAATAAATGAATAAAGAGTTTAAACAAATGAAAAATTATTTTCCCCAAAATTTTCAGTTAGACATGCAGAAGAATTTAAGAATATACTAAATCAAATCACTGTTCTAGATGGCTATATTATATTTGGCAAATGTTCAGAAATGTGCCCATC